GAAGGACAAATAATATATGATCTCACTTATATGTGGAATCTAAAATGGAACCCAGAAGTACAGAGAAGAAAAGCAATTGCCAGAGTTTGAGGTATGGGGGGAGGCAGGGAAATGATAGCCAAAGGGCAACAACAGCAGCAGCAAATACACTTTGATTTTTGGATGTTACTGATTGTTCATTAAATATTCATTACTATTGCAATGATCCATTTTTGTATACGGGAAGGTGTATGAAATTGGGCTGAGTAGGTCATAAGTGTAGAGTCTTCCAAGACTATAGATTTTGAAATAAATCCATTGCTTAATCTTGTTTTTGGTTTAATTTACCTCTTTCTTTTGAAAAATCTTTTGAAGATCCACACTTCTGTTAGAAGATTCTGGACTAGTGGGCCTAGTTATCATAGCTTTTACTGTACCATTCCCTCAAGTGGGACAGGCATCAAGTCTGAGACTCCTTAGGTTGCCCCAATTCTTAGGTACACTTTCTAAGAAGAAATTAAAAGTCCTGGGCTAACTATTTCTGCCCCTTCTAACTAGTTCTATTCCAGAATTTTTTTTTATAACTAGCTGCATTCATCTGTGTTAAAAGTTTTAAGAATTAGTTGAAGGGAAGGTGCTAAGGAATTTCAGAAATTGAGAATTAGTCCCACTAATTCCAACAACCAAATAGTTACAGACTACATTGGGAGTTGCATATTTTTCTCCTTTGAAAATAGTTGGTAAATAGGTATTTATTGAGTGCTGCAACTGCCAAGTAGGCATTGTGCCTGATGCTTTCATAGATAAAGAAATCATGTTTTGACTTTCATGCAATCTTGTTGGATAAACAAGATAAATTCATATAAAATAAATCAGAGACCAAATAAAGCAATATTTCTTCAAGTATCACATTGATGGTTCTGGCAGAAGGTCAGAGGAAGAGGTCAATGCTGGATAGATTTTTTTCCAAAAATATTCTTATGGGAGGTGGAATTTGTAAAGGTGGGACATAGTGGGAACTTCAGCTCTGTGAACAGTGCAACCCAGACAAGACATGGGGGAAATGTGGCACCTCCCATGTACCAGCTAGCCAGCCTGACAAGAGTGTCATGAGAAATAACATCTCAAATCCCTCAAGAACACATTCTTGGCTATTGGTATTGTGCATGCGTGTGTATGTCTGTGTACATTATGTTTATGTTAATGCAAAGTTGTTACAACAACATGATTCAAATTTGAAAGTTGTTTTGAGGCTATGAAGACAACATATGTAACAACACACAAATGCTCCAATCATGTTTGTGCTTTCATGTATTCCTTTCCATGATAATAAAAGGTTGGCTAGCCATGGATAATCAAGAGCTACAGAAAATCCTTCAGTGTAATTTTAGCCATTCAATTTCACTGGCTTTTCTCATAATTCTTTAATGCAGCTGTGAAAACAAACTAATTTAACTTACTGGTATTTTTCTCATTGTCTTTAATTCCTCTATTGTCTACAGTAAACCAGGCCATGGTCTAATGCAGACATCTAGGAGTGGAATCAGTGCAGATGGCCTGGTTCATCTGTAGATCTGATCCCTCATCCATCTATGTCTGGTTGGAAATTCCTGAATATGCTTTGAAAGCAYCCAGAGAGGATCCAGAGGTCCAATGATCTTTAAATCTTATTTTCACTTACATTTCTTAATTCAAAAGTAAGATATGTTCATATGAACTATAGAACTTAAAAAAGCTAATTAATGACACATTCTTAAATCTCTTACAATAGTAGTATAGTAGTTCCCCTTATCCATGGTTTTGCTTCCCATGACTTTACTTCCCATGGTTTTAATTAACCACAGTCAACCATGATCTAAAAATATTTAATGGGAAATTCTAGAAATGGACAATTCGTAAGTTTTAACTAACTCTTGTTACAATATGTTGCTGTAACTGTTCTACTTTGATATTGTTGTTAGTCTTTTACTGTATGTAATTTATAAATTAAACTTTATCATAGATACGTATATATAGGAAAAAATATCACATAAGTAAGTTCCAGTGCTATCTGTGGTTTCAGGTATCCACTGCAGGTCTGAATGTTTCTCCCATGGGTATGGGAGGACGACTGTATACACTTCAATAGATAGGTTCCTCCTGAGGGTGAATTTCTGTGATGTTTCATCAGTAGAGTTGGTTAGCTCAGGGGATTCAAGTGCAGTGTTCATGGGTGAATGGACAATCTTGCTCCCACTTCATATTGTAGGATAGAGTTTTTGTTTGGTTTGTTTGCTTGTTTGTTTTGGTTGTGTTTGTTTAATTTGCAGGTCAAGGATAATTCCCCCTAGCAAATTGGCAAGCATATGTCCTTGGTAACAACAATGAGTGGTAAAATAGACTAGCTGGCTTAATARAGACAAGCAAGCGTTCTTGAAATAAAAATGTGAAATATGTGTATATGCTATTTGTGATCCATTTTTGAGTATTGCATTCACATACCAAAACCAGCTGACGATGGACTTAATACTCAGAGTTGTAATCTTCAGGCCACCATTGAGCTTTCCAGTAAGTTCGGAAAGTACTGTCTTCTTAATAGCTCTAACTTAAATACAAGTTATAGTCCAATTTCTCATTGTATATGTGGTGCCTTTCTTTTCCCATAGAATAAGCAATGTTATAAATAGCTATTAGCCTCTCAGACAAACACACAGAAGACCATTTAATAGATGGTAGTTAAATATATATTTATTGATGAATGAATAAATAAACAGTAGCTCTATTCAGTTGAGGTCTGTGTCCCTAAATCTAGGGATTGTGTGATAGGAGACAGAAAATAAGGATTTTCCTTTTTAGGGAATAAAGTAAGATCTATACAAAATTTTATGATGAATGAAAATGCATCACAGGCACCTCTGGATCCCTTTGCTCTAGCTTCTTTTTTTTTTCTTTTTCTTCTTTTTTTTTAACTGTTGTCACCCAACTTTGGGCAAACTTATTTCAGCCCATTTTAATTCTTCATCAATTATTTACTATTTTCTTCCTCTTCTCAATCAAAACTCACTTCTTCATTAAAAATTCTTGTAGTTAGATAATAGAAAAGATTTAGATACAACTAAGTCCATATGGTGTTGTCATGGACTGATAACCCATAACCACACTTGGACCCAACCAGACTCCTCCATTCCATTGCTCATGGAAATTTCTAAGCAGCATATGATAGACCTAGGTCAGGTGATGAAACCATTTTTAATAGAAAGGTTTGTCTTCTTTGAACATTATCAGTCTTTTTCTAGAACTCCTCCCTTTGTGTCTCTGCATAAATCAATTCTTAAAGACCATATTGAAATCTGAACACCTTCTTATATGACTTCCCCTCACACAAGGTCTTGGTGACACCTAAAGATGAAATCATATTTATAATGTCAACTTCATTTTCATGCTCTCCATGTCCTTTTAGACAGAGCACAGAACACACATGATATTTCTTTCTCTCTTTTCTAATGCCTAACCCAGCCTCAGTTCTTCCAAGGTCAAATGGTCCAGGAATACAAGTTCAAGCAGAGCTCCTAGGGAAGACATCCTCTCTCGTCTTTCAGCTTCGTTTTACTATTCTGTGCAGTGGAGGTAATATTAAAGCCTGAATAATTGAAATGTTATGAGGATTGTGCAAAATAAGACAGACAAATTTCTTATATAGCATCTAATACTTTGTGAAACTATAGCAAGTGAAAAATGGTTCCTGTTGGGTTGATTTTTGGTGGCATTCCCCATTCCACTTTGCCATTATTTCTCTGGCTCTTAGATTCTCATGATTTTGCAATCAGTTTTTTTTTGTGTGTGTGTGGGAAGGGCCACGTGATTACAGACCTCTCAAGGTTTCACCCACTGTCTACTTCCACATACACAGTCCATCAACTCAGTGGATCACATCAATGGGTCCATTCAGTGAAGATCTGCAGTGCTATAGCTCCCACTGGTGCAGTTGCTATACCACATCCAAGTCTGCCTATGGCTTGCTGTTCTCCTCCAGAATATTCTTTTCCGTGAAAACTCCAGTTCYTTCCTTGTATACTCCCTGCACTGAAGACATGGCTGTCTTTAATTTCTGAGAAAATGGTAGCCCATCCCAAAAGAGTACTAGGATAGCCTCTGCCAGGTCAAAAGCTTGTTATTATTAGTTTACTGGCCACAAATATGCAGAAAAATTCCTCCCAGTGGGAGAAATCCTTTGTTTCTCTTCTACCACATGCATGTCTAACCTAACCTAATTTTTGCCAGGCATGACTCCTAAGGCATCTGCTCCCACATCTTCTCACTCTCATGCCCTTGTCACCACAGTATCACACACTATTCTCTCAGAAAAGAAAGTTGAGTATTTTCTCCCTTTTCACTCTCAGTTCTGTACACTTTCTGAAATTCTGTGCTCCAGATGACCTAGGTAAGAAAATAACCATCAGTAGCCTCAATGATGTCTGAACTACTGAGGACCAACTTCCAGGGTCCATCCAAGGGCAGAAGATTGGATATAAGTCTCATCACACATAGCTCTTCTTTTCCCATTAATTTGAGCTTTTTATAGAAATGGATCCTATGAGATTACCTGAGCAGTTACTTAATCCTCCCYTTTTCCATATTAAACTTTTAAAACCACTTTCCCTCTGGATAAGCACAGGCTTTTATATTTGAGTKTCATACAGCTAAATCAAAAGCATTCATTGGTTCTGTCTTTCATGTATGCTTACTGAGTATGCCACCGCTTGTGGGGACAAGTGCATAGAGTACTGCATACATGGCATACGTTAAGGGAGCCTGAGTGGCAGCCAGCCCCTCATGCTAGGCGTGTGAGTGGCAGACCATTTTACCCTGTAGGTACAGCCCTGGGTGTGGGGCCATGTGTTGCAATCCCTGTGCTTGCTCCATGGCCCACTCCTTGATTGGTTGCTGCAAGGACAGTTAGCAGAAATTACATTGGTGGCTTCCTGTAATCTGCTTAGCTACTGCCTGAGTATACATACATGGTAACTGTAAAATAAAATTAGACCTACTTCCAGCTGGGTCTCCGGAGRTCTTGATTAGCAACTCTTCAGCCACACTGTCCTCTACCCTGTTCCGTGGACCTCCTCGCTGGATGAGAGAAAGCACACGCAGCTGGCGCCTGAACAGGGACCTGAGGTAAGCGTATAAGACAGGATGTGGCCCCTCACAGAGTGGTGAGGAAGGAGAAATGGGGAACTACMAAGTTCCACCAAAGACTCCCAATCRCTGTAGCATTTCAAGTAATGTTCTAGAAATTCATGTTTATCTAATTAATACTGCATAGCCAGCATCTCATTTTCCAGAGGCACCTTCTCCAGAAATCCCAACAACACTTATTCTCCCAGTTTTGACATTCCAAAACTCTAAAGATGTTTCCCTCACTTTATTGATTCTATTGTTAGTAGGGGTATATGTGTGCTCTGAAGTCTAATAAGTATCTTCATCAAGTCTCAATACCAAGACCAAAGAAAACCATCAAAATTGTTCTTATAGAGTTATAGGGATAGGATAGGGAAAAGAGATACACATGTACAGAAAGAAATAAGTTTGAATCACAATGCACTTGGGTCCCACAGACAGATGAGTTAGAGTGGCAGGGAATATAAGAATAMGAATTTGGAAAGGCTAAGGAGGTATTTTCCTTTCAACCCTCCAAATACCGCTTCTTCTTATTTTTTATCTATAAGCAAAAATCAGATTTTTGAGAAAAGCCACAACCCTAGCAAAATACCATAGACAGTAATAATTCATTATGTATGTAGGGAATGAGTTAATTCTTGAGATTAGCAAAATTTTATCACTGTTGCTTAAAAATAGCAGATAAAGTAGCTCTAAGCTTCATAAAAGTATCAGAGCTGTACCACAGAAAATTCATCACATCTCTTCCATTCCCCTTTTCTCCTTCACTCCTTCTAGCCTAGTAGAATGAAGGAGAGAGAAAGACACTTCTTAGACCTCTGTGTGATTCTGTGGACAAACCTCAAGAAAAATGGAGTCGAATTCTCCTAGAAATTGTGGATTTGGAAATTTCCATTCATTTGCCTGGGTGATAAGACGAGGAAGTGGCCCTCAGAGCATGGGAATAAAAATAACAGTGAGATGACTGATCACTCACCAAGTTTATATATATATATATATATATATTCCTTAACACATACAGAAATCAAATATTTTTCTGTGCTAAATGCTGTTCTGTATTATAGTCTAAAATAATACATATATTTATGTATATTTATAAATATTTATAATACATATATTTATGTATATTTATAAATATATAAATATATTCTGTAAATACATAAATATATATAAATATATATTCTGTAAATTGTAAAGACATATATTATAAATATATAAATTTGCACTTCTAAAACAACACCTCGAAATCTATTGTGTGACATGGTATGAGCTTTCAGTTTTCAGAAAGAGTGATATAAGAGAAAGACACCAAGTTCTATGGCTATTGTGGGGGTTCCAAACGTGAACCATCCAGGGTCAGATTTCAGCTCTGTGGTTTCCACACTGTGTGACCATGAGCAAGTCACTGAGTGTCCTGTGGCTCAGATCCCTCATCTGTAAAACAAATCAGATTAGTCTCCCAACAGTGGTGAGGGGGTTAAGTCTAAGAAATTTAGAGAGCTTCCTAACATAGAGTAAGCACCCAATAGGTGTGAGCAATTATCTCTACCCAGAAGATGAAATTGTCCCACAAAATTACAGAACCCATGATCTTGGGAAGCCACCTTCAAGCAGCTTTCTGCTCCAATTGTATGAAAAGTCTCCATTTAGGCTAACACCAATGGTTTGAATAAGAAAGACAACTTGGAGATAGATGTCATTTCACTTTAAATCGGARGGCTGACAAAGCTGCAGCACAGCTCACCTGTAGGAGCAAGAGAAGCAGGCTCAGTTCCAGTTGGGTTAAGAGCCAATATGATCTTGGCCTGCGAGGAATGATTTGTTTCCCTTAGCTTTTTCTCTGCAGACATGAGAATTTAAGAATTCTCATCTTAGGTTAGGTTTATGTTTGGTTCCTAAACACCATAATGACGTTGATAATAAAAGTCAAGGACAGGACCATAGCTGTTTTTTTCAACTCAGCCTCAAATATGACAGGTGTTTACCTAATATATCATTGGCTCTCATGCAGTAATTTATAACTCTTCTTTATACACTTACCAATAATAAGTGTTTTGTGTCTATAACCATCCCCAAGTACTTGGGAAAAATCCTTCTTACCAAGAGAGTGTTAAAAAAATACACCTTTCACAAACTCTTATTCCATTCCTTTTCCCCTCCCTGTCCCCTAGCCCATACCATAGCTGGTTTGTAAACAGAAGGCAGACAAAACTTCAGGGTCGATGGGTGGATTCACAACTTAGCAAATATCTTCAGCATATGTGCAGTATCAGGACAATAAAATATTGTTCCTTGCTTCTATCCCACAACCAATTAGGTCAGCTGTAAATATTGGAGTTGCTTGGTAAACATGCTGGAAGATTGTGCTGACTTGCTAATATAAGTGAAAATGTAATTAGATTTATAACACTTTTTTTCCAAACCATAATTTACAACAACAGAAAAAAAAGACTCATGCAACCTGCTGAAATATCATTATTAAAATGCACATGAAAAGTCAATTGTGCCAGAGGGAGGTATTTAAGAGAAGTGAGTTTTCGTACCCTGGGATTACACCATGGGGATTACATATTTCTTATTTATTTATTTTTCCCTGAGATCTCTGCTGTTGCCAAATGAAAAGGAACAGATATTTTACTTATTTCACTCTGAAATATTGCTGAAGATGGTGCTAAGAAGTAAACTAAATAACCTGGCTCCCTGGAAACCTACTTTGTTCTCCTCAAAGCCCCAGGAAAAGCCGGGAACGGTAGTCACCATTCTTTTTTATTTACAAGCCTGTCTCTCTTTAAGCAATAGTCATATTCCTTAACACATACAGAAATCAAACATTTTTCTGTGCTRAATGCTGTTCTGTATTATAGTCTAAAAGAGGAGATTATCAGATGGAATTCTGTGGGGGCCATCCTTCGGTAAGGATAAGAAGTCATCCTYATTTTCGTTTTAAAACCTGGGGTTCTCTCTGCTCCTGGAATCTTAGTTGGAGCACAACTTGACCTTCAGACAAGGATAGTACAGGGTGATGGGACATCTATGTGTCTATAGATGCAAGTTCCTCCATGGGTCCCCTTTGGATCCTGATGGCTGCACTGTCCCAACAGATGATCCTGGGTTTCTGGCAACACTCAGCCCCACTTTCTGAGGCTTCAGTTGGTTCTGATCCCAGTTCCATCTTTCACCCAGCCAGGTGGCTGTTGTCTTCTTTTGGATTTCCCCCGAATGAATTCAGGTACTATTATATCTCATCAGAGTTTAAGTTACCAATGAGGGAAGAGCTAGTTAAAAATAAATCATAAAGCAGTTTATAATGGGAGTGAAGCTGCCCTTTTATGTCTCAAACTTCTCCTAACATGTTTGGTTTAAATAATGAAGGAAATTTCTCATACCCATTATATATATATATATATATATATATATATATATATATATATATATATATATATATCAGATAAATTACTCCTGGGGTAAGATTTTGGTGGCACCATATAAAAATCAGTCAGCAAAGTAAATCATATACATACATACAAACATGCAATTTGCTTTATACATTTATTACATTTATTCTCTACCCACACCACTACATGCATAGTTTACAGATATACMTATATACAGGAAATTCTATTAAAGACAAAAACAGGGAGTGGCCAAATTTCAGACATTAATTCAAAGTAGTGTCATATTATAGAGCTGTACTGAAAACAATATGAATGAGCTGCCAACATATGAATGCCTATTATTTATTTATTTATGAAATGTCGTCATTGTAATTAAAGCCTTATCTTCCATTGTATTAAGAGCACTTTAAAATTTCTAGTTTGTGGGTTGAGGGTGTAGCCTTAGAAAAATGCAAAGCCTTAGGTTCAATCCCCAGTACTGCCAAAAAAAAAAAAGAAAGAAAAAGAAAAAAATTCTAGCTCATAAAATAATATTTCACAAAGCATAAATTTTCATACAGATTAGCTCGATTTGCTTCAACTGAAACATTCTGTTTGATTTTACAATCAGGCAAATCTGGTGCCTGCATCTTACACTGTTTGGGTGTAAATCTGGAATATTCTGGGATCTTCCTAAATATCCCTCTTTTCAGCTTTTTCCCACAGCCTAGGTCATCAGCTGCCAGGGTATATTGTTATCTATCTTTCGCTTGAATTTCATTTTACTCCTTTGAGAAACCCTTTATGGACCAGAATCGGAGGCCAGTTTTCAGAGGCTGAGGTAAAAGGCAACTGGGAAGGTATGGCAGGGCCAGCTCCACCTCTGCTCAGCTGGGAATGGTCTTCCAGGAAGATTTAGCATCTCCTTGCCCATAGCAAGCTAGATCTCACCCATAGTTATTGATTTCCATCTTACCTCCCTTAAACCCACTCAGGACAAGGTCTGAGGCAGGCAAAAGTAAATAAATAAAAATCAATGAACCTAGCAGTGTAAGGTTCTAAACCCCTCTAGGCAGATTCTATCTGCRAAGTTTTACAACCAATCTATAAGGATTTGGGTGAACATATTAAAAAACAGAAAGGAACAATCCTGGTTGACTTTTACATTCACCTGTTTTTCAAAGTCAAAGATCTATTTTTAGAAAGCCCAAAATCTGTAGGGTTATTTAGGACTAGGAAAAAGAACACAGAAAAAAAATGAATTTATAATCAGTGAGCAGACTCACCTCTGTCAACCCTGATTATGTCCCTCTTCCCAAGGTGTTTTGAGGGTCTTTCTTCCCATCCAGAATCCTTGTTTTTCTTGGGGAGATGGGCAGGGTAAAGGAAAGCCATTCCTAGTGAAGTGCTCTTTCACCAGATACTCTCCTCTCCACCGCCAGGTCTRTGGGCACTGCCTCAAGCTCTCTTCCTCCCTTCCCTTGGTCCACCTGTCCTCTCCCTCGTTTTTACTGTTGGAGCCAAGGATCTTGCCTTGGTCTTTTTGTAAGTCAAGAAATAATAGAAAGGTCGTGAAGAACCCAACTCTAGCTCCCAAGCGGGAGGGTGTGCCTAGAGGTATGG